GCATGCTTATTTCTCGGCCTGTCAAATACAGCTTTTAAGATGGTGCGCGTTCAGATGAATAATTCCTCGCCAAAAGCGTGAACTTTTTCTTTGGTTTTCTGCGATGATGACTTATAATTATTTACATGCAAGACTAATGTTCACGTCTTTATTGTAAGAGTCCACATGTAAATAATGTAAATAATTCGTGGACATATCCATGAACAGAAAACTTATTTTAAATAATATATATCAAATAAATTATTAACTGGAGTAATATTATACTTCTAAAAAGAGTACTGAACTATTATGTAATATAGGTCCTGCTATATGGCATTGAATTCTAGAACAACTCCTCATAAATGAAGAAGAGACTTGAGGCAACAATTTTTCATTATACAAGGGATGACGATAATAATATAAACTGAACATGTGAGTTACGAGGAAGTTGTAAGGGAAATAGATACAAAAAGGAAACTTATATGTAGACTCTGAACGAGACAGTTGAAATTTCTAGTGAGCATAATGAGGAAAGAGAGGTTGGAGAATGTGACACTCTCAGGGCATATTGAAGGCAAGAAGGACAGAGGAAAGCAACGAATAACTTACCTAACGCGCTTGCGTAAATGACTGGTGGAACAGAAGTTAGGAAGAACAACAGAAAGTCAAACGCTACGAAGAGTTACAAAAGACAGGAGGTCGTGGAGGGCTATGATCGTGCATGTCCTAAATGGATGATGACACATGAAGAAGTATTTAGTAGCTAGAATCTTATCAATTTGGTACTTATTAGCCTGTAAGCTAAAAATCTGATACTGATGGCATTTTTACTCTTGTATAATGACGATAAACTACGTCCGGCAGCAAGGCCACTGATCAGGAGATTGTAGGTTTTGAGGAGCATGGAACTACCTCTTAATTGCTGTTATTCCCAGGTGGGTGGTAGTACCTATTAGTGTCCCAGCTATGGGTAAACTGTGAACTCCTAAACGAAAATACTATAAAAGTATAAAAATATATTTTAATAGTAAAAATACCAGCAATAAATCTTTATATAAAAAATTACCAACAATACACCAATCAACATGAAATACTCTTTCATGACATTAATGTATCCTACAATTTCTTAAAGAGATCAAACTGTATTCGAAAATATAACTTCAACAAAACTACAACGTAAAATACGTACATTTTCTCTGCCTCTACTAATTAAATTCACACCAAGGACATGACGTATAGGAAGGCAAAGTAGGCAGGGCCTACACTGAATAAAATAGATTTTTCTTTCTCTGGCTCAATATGCAGCTAATACAACACAATTATGAAGCTTACTCTGCAAAATATTTTATCTTTTTGTAGACTTACTACATAAAGGTCACCAGCTGCGTACCCTGAATAATTACTGACGGTACGTGCCTGGTCCATAGTCAGTCAGTTATGTGCCATGAGTGATACACGGAAGTGAATATAATGGATTTAACTGGAATTCGAACTCGGCTCACCGATTACTCAATCTAAGCCTTTATCCATTACTCCATAGTGCCTCCTGGTCCGGAGAAACATGTATATGCACAAAAAGTATTCATATGTGAAAGCAGAATAATAACATATATCATATTTTTTAATTAAATTTTGACATTAAATGACCCATAAGGAGTTAATATGCGGTTAAACAATAAATACAACAAATTTGTAAAATGCTTAAATTAAATCAATACCTGTTCAAAGTTGTTCGTCTAGTTTAAAACAAGTTATGTTCGCAAATTAAGACTTAAGAAAAACATTGAATTGCCATTCCTAAAGATTAAGACATAATGTTTCTATAAGTTTGGAAAAGACGTAGAAGAAACTATAAATATCGATGGTGTTTATAGATTACCATCGTTAAGGAAAGCTAATTTAAATATTCTAGAAATTGTTACTTCAGCTTAACAGAATGTTCAATATCATTTGAATGATATTACATATCAGTCGATTTATCATTTACAAATTCTTCTTTGTTTCTTTCTTTGTTTCTTTGTTTCTTTGTTTCTTTGTTTCTTTCTTTCTTTCTTTCTTAATTTTTCATGTTATGTAAGTCAAAAATTATCCGCATTTTCGCCATGACAAATTTTAAAGTTTCTCACACTGTCTTCCGCTCATTTCTAACGATCGAACACAGATCCGCCACTTGATCAGGCCAATTTTCTTACTGCCGTTACAGTGTAAACATGGCCGCTCTGCTAGCAGTGTGCCCCAAGGAGGAAGAAACAGCAGTGATCTGAATCTGCAAAGAACGTGCTACCTCATCGCCATTAACATCTCTAGAGCTTGCTGAATCTTTTCGTCACTGGTGGAGGTTGACGGACGTTCTGCTCCTTCTTCGTACGTCACGCTTGCCCAACCACTTTTAAACCTCTTGATCTACTCATGCACACTTTTACGGGGTAGTGAACTATCACCGTGTTGTGTTAACTGTTTCCGATGAATTTCAGTCCTAGACAAAACTATCGAGAAGAGAAATCGGATTCCTGCTCTTTGTTCCTCCTTGGTGCACACTGCTAGCAGAGCGGTCATGTTTACACTGTAACAACAGCAAGAAAACGGGCGCGATCAAGCTCAAATTTTGATTATGTTACCTCAATGGTACCAACTATAATCACGCAGATATGTCATAGCGAAAGTGTGGATAATTTTTGACTTTTTCTCGTATATATCCGTGTATGTGTGTGTGTGTGTGTGTGTGCGTGCGTGACTGTGCGTGCATGTGTGTGTTTGAGTAGGTGGGTATTTAGAGGCGGATCTGAGTTTGATCGTTAGAAAAGAGAACGGATATTAATGCTAGTCTTACACAACCGAGCAGGTAGAGCAAATTGTAGTTGAATACACCAAGGCAATTGCACCGAAACAACGACACCCATGTTAGAGAAGAATCCATTAGTAAAGATGTGTACCCCCTGTGGCAAAAAGAAGATAGCAATGGCAGTGACATGTTCGCTGTGTGCAACTGAAACGCCAATAAGCATGGGCCGTCCGATTTCGATGAGAAATTGCTAGTCATGTAATTACGAACAGACGCACGCGACAGTGTGTTCATATCTATCTATCTATCTATCTATCTATCTATCTATCTATCTATCTATCAATCTATCTATCTATCTATCTATCTACAGTGCATATATTTTGTTAGGTAATAAAATTAAAATGAAAGAGAAAGCCAAGTCTAGGCCATTCATTTTTATGTTATGTCAAATAATTTATTTTCCTAAGATTGAAGTTTTCCTAAAAATTTACATGTCATCGCATTCATATTACATTAAAAATATTCAGTGACAATAATTAAAGTCTTTCTTATTTCTCTTTTTAAAAATTCTTTTCTAATTTCTTCTTTTGTGTAAGTTTACTTGAACCTTTTTCTTTCTTTCTTTCTTTCTCAACGCTACGCGCTTTTTTACTATTCTGAATTTCATAAGCCTTAAATTTCTTTCTTTCTTTTTCTCGTTGACTTTTTCATTTCTTACTAGTATTTTCCTTTTCTTTCTTGTTTTTTTTGTTTGTTTCTTTTTTTCAGCTCTTCTTGCGTTTTCATTGGTTTGTTCCTTTCATTCATTCCAATATTTCCCTTTTGGCACTCTTCTTAACTCTTCTTTGTTTGTTTGTTTGTTTGTTTGTTTGTTTGTTTCTTTCTTTCTTTCTTTCTTTCTTAATTTTTCATGTTTCTTTCATTTATTCCAACATTTTTCTTACTTTTAACTTTTTCGAACACTTCTTTCTTTCTTTTCATTTATTTGTTCCTTCCATCCATTCCAAAATTTCCTTCTTTTAAACTTTTCTTAACTCTTCTTTCTTTCTTTTATTTGTTCTTTTCATTCATTCCAACATTTTTCTTCTTTTAAACTCTTCCTAAACCTTCTTTCTTTCTTTGTTGATTTTCTTACGACTGTTTTCTTTTTCTTTCATTTTCTTTCTTTCTTTGTTGATTTTTATTTGTTTCTTTTTTCCAAATCTTTCTTTCTTTCTTTCTTTCTTTCTTTCTTTCTTTCTTTCTTTCTTTCTTTTGCTTGCCTTTTTTCTTACGACTGTTTTCATTGTCTTTCATTTTCTTTCTTTCTTTGTTGATTTTTGTTTGTTTCTTTTTTCCAACTCTTTTCTTTTCCCAACTGTTTCTTTCTTTCTTTCTTTCTTTCTTTCTTTCTTTCTTTCTTTCTTTCTTTCTTTGCCTTTTTTCTTACGACTGTTTTCTTTTTCTTTCATTTTCTTTCTTTCTTTGTTGATTTTTGTGTTTCTTTTTTCCAACTCTTTTCTTTTCCCAGCTCTTTCTTTCTTTCTTTCTTTCTTTCTTTCTTTCTTTCTTTCTTTCTTTCTTTCTTTTTTTTGTTTGCCTTTTTTCTTATGACTGTTTTATTTTCTTTCATTTTCTTTCTTTCTTTGTTGATTTTTGTTTGTTTCTTTTTTCCAACTCTTTTCTTTTCCCAACTATTTCTTTCTTTCTTTCTTTCTTTCTTTCTTTCTTTCTTTCTTTCTTTCTTTCTTTCTTTCTTTCTTTTTCGTTTGTTTATTCCTTTCAGTAATTCCAACTTCTTCCTTTTCTTTCTTTGAAAGTGTTCCTAACTCTTCTTTCTTTCTTTACACCTGCACATCGTTTTAGGCACAAATGAAAAATAATCTGTTATGTAAGAAAAAACAAATGGACGAAGAGAATGAATGATGAGGAAATCGTTCAGCAAAAGAAAGATTTACCGCCGGCCAACCAGCTTTATAGAATCCCCCGACAACTGGCTACATATTTACATATAGATAGAGAAACAGATTTATGAATATGAAACGAGACGGTAGACGGCGAAGAAAGATGTTGCCGGGGTGGGTGGGGGTGTGAGTATGCAAAAATGGATGTAAAATGTATTAAGGAGAGAAGAATCAAATATCAAGTGCGCGCTGGAATGCGTGGCTATGATAAAGTAAATGCAAAATTGTGCATATGATAAAACATTTTGCTTTTGATGCTGATGATCCCAGCTATAAAGCTAATTAAAATGAATTTATTAAAGAAAGAACGGAAATGAAGCTAGAAAAAAGTAAAGAAGGATAGATAAGGACATAGATATGAACAGAGTGAGATAGATATAAATATAGATAGATTTGAAGAGATTGAGATAGTTATGAACAGACTGTGAGAGAAAGAAAGAAAGAAAGAAAGAAAGATAGATAGATAGAAAGATAGATAGATAGATAGATAGATAGATAAAGAACGAGAGTTGTAGAATTTGAGAAGAAAATGTCAACAAGGAAGAGGAAATGACAGAAAGAAAACGAAGAAATATTGATAGCGAAAAAGAAAGAAAGGAAAAAGGTAAATAAAATAGGAAAGAGAAAGAAAAAAGAAAGAAAAGAGAGAAAAAGAATAACGACGATATTTGGAGAAAGAAGTAGATAGAAAAAAACAAAGCCAGAAAGTAAGAAAGATAAAAGGAAAAAAGAGGAATTAGAACGAAACAACTTGAACAAAGAAAGAAAAAAGAATGATTTAATGAAACAAACAAAAAATGGAAAGTAGACAAAGAAAAACTGCGAAATTCGAAGATAGACAAAAATTGATAGAGTGAGAGGAAAAGAAAGGCGTAAGACAGTAAAAAAGGAGAAAAAAAAGAAAAAGTGTTAGAGACAGAAAAAGAAATAGTGTGTGTGTGTGTGATAGAGAAAGAGAGAGAGAGAGATAAAAAAATGCAAGACGTAGAGGTAGAAAATGAAAAGAAATCTATAGAAAAAGAGAAACCTTGAAAATCGATTAAGAATATTGAAAATGTAGAACTTTAGACGAAGAATTCAAACCGAGAGAAGGGTTTGTTTTTATATTGAATAGTGCGGACAAGTGATGTTTTTATTTCTTGCCCCAATCTTGGAGCTATAATTAGGGAGCCTAAACTGCTTAGGACAGGCAACATCTTCGAACTTATTTCCTAATGAAAGATTGCTGGTATTTAATATTTTATCATTTGGCATCAAATGCGAACGGTTTATAAGGACCATATTGGGAAAATGGAGAGAATAATCATACTCATTATAAAACCCAGATTGTGAGTGTGTGTGTCTGTACGTTTATATATTGGATCGGATTTTCTACATTTTTCAACCAATTTCAACAAAACTTCACAGGACTACGTAAAATTACATTGCGGTGGTTCTGACAGCGCCAAAATTTGGAAAAACACAATTGTTTTTGCACGAAGTCAATTTGAAAACACGATTAAGTCACCAGAATGAAAGGGGGGAGAAATCATATCGAGTTATACTTATTATAAAACCCAGGTTGTTTGTGTGTGTCTGTGTTCGTTTATATATGGGATCGGATTTCCTACATTTTTCAACCGATTTCAACAAAACTTCACTTTTTTTTTTGGCAGGTAGTGTTTCTTATTGTCTTACACACTTTTTTCTTTATTTTTACATTCAGAATGCTTTAAAAATTCCATTTACAAGACAATTGTTTATAATAAAATTCTATTTAATCGGTAGACTCATAACGATTGAAAACAATATTTTTGTTTGAGTTTGGGTTTGACCAATTCGTAAAAAAAACAAACAAAAACAACAAAAAAAAAAAAACACTAATTAAGACATGCGTGTCCGTCAACCTTAAACAATAATCTTTGTCAATTTTATTTTTCAGTCTTTATGATGGTCGATACTTGATCTATCTCTTACTGTTACATTCCCGGGCAACGCCGGGCTCTACTGCTAGTGAGTGATATAGACGTACTCACGCACACAAACGCACAGACATAGACACAAAGAAAGGAACATGATTGACATATGCAAGTTTAGAGAGATTTAGAGAATATGAGGGAGAGAGACCATATATCAGTATGTAAGAGAGAGAGAGAGAGAGAGAGAGAGAGAGAGAATGAATGAATGAGTGAATGAGAAGTGTTGGGCAACATAGCGGGTGTTTGTCCTGTTGCAATACTTTTGGAGACAAGGATGATGAACTGACCATAACAAATCGTAGTGTAATGAGCTTTGGCCTTCGGTGATTTCAATGATTGTAGCTTGATATACGATAAAGATAATACTTAAGGGGTTCTTTCTTTCTTTGTGAAAGTAATGTGGTTTATCAATATGTGAAACAGATTAAAAATAATGAAAGCTCTAATAATATAAAAGGAAAAACCAACACTCAATGACATTAACTAAGAACACAGCCACAATGTGCTGACGGTGTTTGGAAATGAAAGCATTCCTATTACTTCAGATTCATACATAAAATCTCAAACCTAGAGTTAAAAATAATACATACATATATACATACATATATATATATATATATATATATATATATATAGGATAAAAAATATAGTCCTAAGGTATGCAATATTTATAGGTAAAAGCGCCCAATATCAGGGATAGGGCATATGTAAATATAAAAATGGGCATTGAGTTCAATGCCCAGCTGCGACAGTCTGAATACTAACATGGAAATATATATATATATATATATATATATATATATATATGCATGTATATATATGCATGTATATATGATGTTTTGGTGCCACATTTTTTTATTTGAACTTTTATTGGTCTACAACATATAATGATCTATATATATATATATATATATATATATATATATATATATATATATATTTGTGTGTTTTCTGTGCCACATTTTTTCATTTATGTGAGTTTGAACTTTCATTGGTTCATTATATATATATATATATATATATATTTTTATATTATTTATAGTTTTTCTATGTCGTTTTATTTCTTTTCCTTTCATCTTTTAATGTTCAAATTATGACCCTGATCTTCCTTTGCCTGGTATTTCTCGTCAGATGTCGACACCGATACATTCCACCTGACCCCCTCCCCCCACGTCTCTCACGTCGACAAAATATCTGCCCCTTCTCGACATATACACATATATCCCTTGCTTTGGGAAACAAACGCGCAGAAATGAGAGCAGTTAGCACGCAATTTTCGCAAGCCATTGCTAATGACTTCGATACTCGCTGTGAACCTCACTTTTGCAATTTATATAAGTCTAGTAAATATCTAGACGCTTGCAACATACTGAGTTGGCTTCATATTAAATCACATACATGTTAAATAGTCCTCTACCGACCTGAGTTAAATATAGTTAATATCTCTATATTTACGTATTAATTACTTTCTTAATATCTCTATATTTACGTATTAATTACTTTCTTGTGTAAGCTAAACTGTATTCTTTAAATAAAAATTATGATAAGTTTTATTACAATGAACTACTAATGCATTTACATTATTTACATTGTTCGGATTTTGTCCTCATCTTTGTTGTCATATTCACGACGCTTCGACCGTTATACGCGCCGGCCTTCTTCAGGTTATTGGAATTTCGAACCGAACCCTTTATTTCGTCCACCGGGGTAGATTATTCTAGTCTACGTGCCATGCCTCCTCAGTTTCAGTTATTTCCATTTTAGTAAATTAACTCTCCAAGTTTTGTTCACCTCCCCTGTGACTAGGTATTGAACTCATAACACTTTTGGTCAAGTTACTGGATGACTTCAACCAATATTTTTATCCACTGTGCAACAACATCGCTTGAGAATGAAACTGTGCTCCAGATTTTAAGTTTAATATTGAAATTAAAGTTTATGACTATCAGTTTCGAAATATATTAATTTGTGTGTCGCAATGGAATCATATTTTTTAAAAAAATAATCATAATTTTAAGCTCTACTTCTGTATCGAGCACTGTTTTTTTAAAAATAAAAACAAATATTAAAGAACTTTAGATCTTTTATCTAACTGTTCATTCCTATTGCATCAACACACACACACACACACACACACACACACACACACACACATATATATATATATATATATATATAACCAACAACACCATTCCTCGGAAAAGGTAAGACCCATTTCTTTATTTATTCCTCGTATCGTTGAAAAATGACACAGACGTGTCCGAAAATCCCGACTTTAAAATCTTTCTCTTCATGCTTCAATTTATTCAAAAGGCTAATATATAATAACTGTCATCAATTTTATTGCCAATATTTTTATGTTTTTGTTGGCTTTTATTCCTTAAATTTTATTATTCGGCCTACATATTATAAGAATTACACGTGGACCATCTTTCTTTCTAAATAAAAGATTATATGAACACAAAAGGGACGTTTTACAAAATAATGCGTCAAATGTGTTGGTTGCCCACCGTTATGAGACTGACCACAATTTTGACATAAAAATTGCTACTATGATCAAAGGAGAAAATAATTCACTACTGCGTAAACCTCATGAGACTCCCTTAATTGCAAGGTCATCTACAGTGAATTTATGTCCTGGCTCTTACAACATTTCACCTTTTCTAGCAGATTCTACTTACAAAAGTGATGTAAAGAAAAAAAAGACTCTAAATGAATTCGGCTAGATAAAAAAAATTCTAACATTCTGTCGTGTGTATGTGCAGTCCTACCAACATAACAGATTTAGTCCGATGAAGCCCTGAAGGACGAAATGCGTCACAAGTAAAAGATTTTCCAGTCCGTCATATAATTTCCCCATATATATATATATATATATATATATATATAGAATATATATATATATATATATATATATATATATATATATATATATATATATATATATATATATATATATATATATATATATATATATATATATATATATATATATATATATATATATATATATATATATATATAATATATATATACACGTACAACTAAATACATAAACACACACACGCGCACTCGCGTGTGTGTGTGATTAATGGTCCAGAATGTGGCAGCAAATCAAGAGCAAATTTCGCATTGAGTTTGAGATAACTTACAACTTTTACAAGAATTGCCAATGGGGTTTCTTCAGGCCCTAGGGGATTCTGAAGGTGACCTGGAAGAGGGTTAAAATGTCTTATTAGTAGCCAGGGTGGGGGTGAGAAAAGCGTGTAAATTAGAAAGGAGTAACTCTTGCTTCTCAATATTGAGGGAAAGGCATTCTTCAGCTGTTGTCAGACCGTCTGGCAGATTACATCCCGAGGGACTCCCACGTCAATATTCAGAAAAAGGGAAATTGTCGGCCACCCAGCTGATTAGAGAAACCCGGCAGGGTAAGTGCAACCCGGTGGTGGTACTGTGACTGGATTTGGCAAACAATAAACCACATACTCGCCGAAAAAGCAACTGAACTTGGCAGCACACTTTCCAGTTTCGATAAAGTCCAAAAGCGTCTCCTTGTTCTTGTGGGTGATGAATTATTTTCCATCTTACAACTCCTTTCCAACAGACGAAACGTCGCAAAGCCTCTCGCTGCTCTATTGCTATTTCTATGGAAAGTGTTCAGACGAACTACATTCTTTAGTTCCACCAATTATAAAAATGATGGACATGACCCGCCATGCCACGCACATTATAGCGGACCATTTTCATTCCTTTCGTATTCCATTGGAGAGATGTAAGTTCCTCTCGAGCAGATTCTTCACACGAAACGTTGCTTTGTGGAACAGGCTTCCAAGAAGATGCTTCTACGACTAATACAATCTTAATCTGGGATTAACCGTTATTTTCCCCACATATCGCTATAAGCTGTATCTCTTAATTTGTAACATTCTACCTTAAGTGGTTCTTGCGTCTTGTACAAGATGAACATCATTGTAAACAAAAAACAAACAAACAAAACAAAAAAAAACAACAAAAAAAAAAACGAAAAAATCCTATTGAATTTGATTCTGTTCGACAATAGCAGCTTGAGAGTATCCACGGTGTTTTCAACCTGAGCGTGGCACAACTCGAAACGAAATCAATTCTCTGTGATCATTTTCATGAACATGTTAGTGAAAAGTTCTAATTATACAATGTAAGTAAGCCAAATGTTTGGAATAAAAATAGAAGCAATGTCAAAGTTATAAAGACAACATAAATGTCGAATATATGCTCCCTTGACAAAGAAACAAAAATATGGATTTTAAGTTTAATTTTTATAATTAAATTTATAATTTTAGTTTCAGTTTTGAAACATGGATATTTCTGTGTCGCGATGGAATCATATTTTTAAAAAGAAAATAATTATAATATTTTTCTCTACTTTTTTATCGAGCACTGTTTTTTCTTTTTTTTAAATAAAAATAATGGCTAAGAACACCGGATTATAAATCTCACTGTTCTTTTTATTATTTTAATATATATATATATATATATATATATATATAGAGAGAGAGAGAGAGAGAGAGAGAGATTACCTCATATATGTACATAATGAATATAAAATTCATGTTATATATAACCTTTATCATCATATGTTAATGAAAAAATGGATTTTGTTCACGGAGAGTAAGTAGTATGTGCCGGTGAGAAAATAATGGAGAGTAAGAAAATCACTAGCAGTAGAAATTTCCCGCAACATAAAAAGCTGAAAACAATTAGCATATTTAATTGTATATAAGATCCACGTTTACTCGTAAATATACAAAAACTTTTTTCTTTATATTCACTGCTAAAATAATGTATTTCATAGGCATTAAATATTATATAGGCATCAAATATTATATAGGAAATAATTTATAGGCATTAAACACTGTAAATACTATATTAATCAATCTCTAAAATGCATCCAAGCATGAAAAACCTATGACTTAGGATTCATTTCTTTTGTTTTTTGAAATCAAAAAAAATGTACAATCAACTAAATATATTTCTAATAGAAATCTTTCTGAACGCGGTCGCCGTTTGTTAATGCTAATCCGTTTCATTAAATATCATATTTAGTTTACATATTCGCCTTGTTATACAGGAGAGAATAAAACAAAAACACAAACAGTGGCTATCCTAAAACGGGTGGAAGCTCAACCAGGTGTACTCAGTAAAAATAACGTTTAGAGTAATAAGATATGTCGAATAAATATTATTTCAAAAAATGACTGTTGTTTAAGTCTCGTGGAGGAAAGTGAAGCTAGCAGTCCGAACAAGAAAAACGTGATTCTTTAATAGGCAATTCTAACCGTTTCCTTGATTGTTTGGCAATATGGTACACATTGGCTTAAGAAATGGTTTCCCTGGGGTAAAAAAGGGATACCTGTTCGATTCCTGTCGGGGGCACAATTTTTCACAATTTAGGCCGGTTGTTATTTGAAAAAAAAATTAGGGATAGCAACACAAACACGCATACCCACAAGAAATACCATTTATAGAAATAAGGAATAATGTTTGATAAAAAATCCTTCCCCAAATTTTTTATCTATCCTTTTTTTACCTATCTTAGTCTGTTCATTCCATTTTATTAATATTGAACAGCTAAGTAAATAAATCACACAACACAACAGTTCTTCAAATATATATATATATATATATATATATATATATATATATATATATATATATATATATGTACAGATATAAATATAAATGTGTACATTGAAATTAACACCGAGAGACAACAGTTTGTTTCATGTTAAACGCAATCGTCAATCCATGTGCACATGGCCTCACGATTGCGTTTACCATGAAACAGACTGCCGCCTCCGGGTGCTGGCTTCAATTTCCACACACACACGCACACACACACACACACACACACACACACACACACACACACACACACACACACACATGGGCACACACACACACATATATATATAAATGTATGTATATATACATATATATATATATGTGTGTGTGTGTCTCTGTGTGTGTGTATATATGTATATACACATAAATATATGTATATATTTTATATAAAATAATTCGTAATATATATATTATATATGTATATCTGTATGTGTATGTATGAGTATGTTTGTGCATGCGCAAAATCCAAAAACGCTCGTCCTTAATACCCACATACGTGGGCACATACGCACGATCTCTGACACCAGTGTAAGAAAGAGAAGCGTCAGTGATTGTATGCATAGATCTATAATCTCCCAAGACGTACCCAATACAGTAATGTTGAGTCAGATAAGATATCCACCATTTTCCTCATCAGTCTCCCATCTACCAACCTCATAACTTGCCATCCGAATAACCACCCACCCTCTTCAGCTACCCGGCTGTCCTTTCTTTACACTCTTTACGCCGATTTCTACAGACGGACCTGCCTGTTCCCCTAAAGGGATGACGCATCCCTTACACAATTATAAATTATCCTCTTTGGCTATCTTTCCGTAAAACGAAATGGGTTAGGCTAACGTTAGCGTTTGTTATTTGCCGCTCAGTTCAATGGATTCAAGCCGCTAGGGAACAGTGAATAAGGACAGAGAGAAGAAGAAGAAAAAGAGTTGAATAGATTTTCAGTGTTGGGGAAAAAGGGACCAACGGAAGAAATAATCCCTTCCAAACCAGTTACCTTGCCTCAAAGCCTAGCTCAACCCTAAACCTGAATAATACGCATTCATATATGGACAACTACATCACGGCTCAAACCTGCAATCATCTGTTGATGTGAATGAAGTTGAAAGTTTCATTTTATATTCACTGTTGAGCCGCCGTCTCTTTTCTCTATGCTGCGCTGAAGAGAAGGTCTTCGTTCCTCTCCCGCGGTTCTCTCCTCCCCAGGGCTCACTGCTTTTACTTCTTTTTCTCTTGGCTTTTATAGACATCTCTTTCAATTTGCCTCTTCCAAGATGCCTGACATGTGGATCCCTAATGTTATTAGATTGCAAGCAAAGATAGTTTTAACACGTTGTGCCGGTGGGGGTGGGTGTGTGTGTGAAGAGGGGACCCAAGTGGCATCTGCCTCGTACTATGTCTATCTTATAATTAAGCGCGATAATCATTCAGCTGGGCAGGCAACGGTTGAGATAAACAGTGAAAAATAACGATAAAACGGAGAAACAAGTGTAGGTAAAAATGAAATAGAGGAGGAAAGATAGAGAGGGAGAGGTAAGAAGTTCGAAAAAAGAAGATAAAAAGATAAAAAGGAAAGGATGAGAAAAAAAAGGAAGAGAGATAGATGATAAAATGAGAGGAAAGAAGAGATAATAATGAAAATATGTAAAGGAGAAAAAGAGGTAAAAATGGGAACAAAAAAAGAAGATGAAGTCGCGACGAAGGTATAACAATAAATATATTAAAAAGAAAGAAGAACGGTAGAGAACGGAATATGTGGAAAAATAGGGAGAGCAAAGAATGAAATAAAGAAAGAAAGAAAGAAAGAAAGAAAGAAAGGAGAGAAGTAAAAAGGATTAATGGGAAGAATGCAGGCAAGCAAGAAAGAAAGAAAGAAAGAAAGAAAGAAAGAAAGAAAGGAAGGAAGGAAGGAAGGAAGGAGAGAGATACATTTGGAAAGAAGTAAAGAGAAAAAAAAAGAAGTACAATAAATAAATAACTAGAGAAAGAAAGAAAGAAAGAAAGAATAGAGATAAATTTGGAAAGTCAATATTTATTACGTAACAAGTACATAATTGTGGCACAAGGCCAATAAATTTGGAAAGAGAGAAAAAGACGTAAAATAAATGAGTAAAGAAAGAAAGATAGGAAGAAAGAAAGAAGAGAGATAAATTTGGAAAGATTTAAAGAGAAAAAGACGTAAAATAAATAAATGAGTAAACAAAGAAAGAATGAGAAATAAACGTAGAAATAAAAAAGAAGTAGAACAAAAGAAATGCGTAAAGAAAGAAAGAAAGAAAGAAAGAAAGAAAGAAAAATATAAAATTCGAAAGACGGAAAGTGAGAAAGAACAGAAAATTGTGAAGAAAGATTAAAAAGCAAAGAAGGAGAGAAATATAGAAGAGATGTGAAAATGAAAAGAAATAAAGGAAGAATGTTGCATAGAAAGAGAGAAGAGAAGTAAAGAATGATAGAAAGAAAGATATAAGAGAGGGGAAGATAAAAAGAAAGAAAGAAACTTGGAAAGAAAGACGATCGGTAAGGAAGAAAAGAAAGATAGAAAGAATGAAGTCAACATGAGATGACAGCGGAATTAAAAACAGAATAAAAAGAAAACCGTGAAAGAAAATAAATAAAAAAACAGGTTGGGGAAAGGATTGAAATAAGAGAAAATTCTTATTTCAATTCTTTCCACAAACTGCATTCTTAAATGTTTTTCTTATCATTCTGTTTTTAATTCCTCTTTCATCTCATATTGACTTCATGACATGATAAGAGAAGAAAAGTTTTAAATTTAAGAAAGGAAACAGTAAAGAAGTAAACAAGATGGAAGTGGCTGTGTATTGTGGTCACTGTAGTTTGAGCAAAAGTTCCCAACGGCATATTCTTTCGTCATGTTAGAGAAATCTTAGGAGCTCTTTTGACGTTTTCGCAGCTTATTTTTTTTTTTTTTTTACTTGCGAACTCTATTAATTGTAGTTTAAACTTAGTACAAATTCCGGATCTAGAAAACAGATTTCAATTTTATTTTACGGAAAGGAACATTCGACTTGAATTTAAATACATTTTTGATTGTCATAGAAAAAAGATATTTGGAGGTAAAATAAAAACAGGATTTATTACAAGAAAAGAAAAAAGTAGAGAATTACACTTCAATCTAGTTTAGTCTTTAACCTCTCAATCCAAACAGAATCCACTGACAATAATTTCTCTGTATTTTGTAGAATTCAGAGGGAAATCTTATTTACATTATTTAGAGTGAGACTATTGTCCTAATCTCTGTTATTATCACAAGGTTTCGACTTCTGTCATCCAGTTTTCTTCAGTTGTTAGTTGATTCAAATAAGTTTTAGGAAATTTATCTGGTCTACAGGAGTAGGTTATTCTCGTTTCACTGTCTATGTCTAGGGATATTTCGTCTTGTTCTTATTTCAGAACTTCTCAGATATTGCTCGCTTTGTTTTCGCTCAGTCTAATGTTGTTCTGCCCGGCTAAAGTCCTGGGTATGACGATAAACTATATCCAGCAGCAAAGCCTCCGATCGGGAAGTTTTGAGGAGTGTAGAACAACATATTAAATCCTCACCCGGGGTGGTAGCACCTGTTAAGGCTCCAGCTATGGGCAAATAGTGATCCCACCAAACAAAAAACACACTTTAATAGTAAACCCCCCCCCAAAAAAAACACCAATACATTTTTCTAGTAAGTATGACAACACACTTGTATATATACAAAAGCTGAGTATCATCTACCATGTATTCAATTGTGAAAGCAGAATAACATATCATATTTTATTACTTCAAAGATCCCAAGAATTTAAATTCTTTTTTAAATTTGTTTCGTGTATATTACCTAGCCGATTTAATCTAGATTCTTTTTGTTTCCATAATGTTTGTTATTAAGTATACCAGGTTGTGATAACAGAAGATCTGCCAAGAATAGTAAAACATTGTAAGAACCTCGACTCAAATTCACTAGCAATTAAAGCACTTTCTATACATTCTTATCTCAGTGAAGTGTTTCTCTTTTAATTAGAGTAGCATTTTTTATATCAAAATTATGATCACTCCCATTACGGCGAGCAACCTTTGGATTTGATGTGCTGTTTTGTAAAATATCCCTTTTATGTTTGTATAATATTCTTAGAGTTTGTCCGATGTATTCTTTCTGGCAATCATTACAGTGATAGAGTAAACTTCTTCAAGTTTTAGCTTATTGTTTTATATTGATTAAATCTTATTGTTTTGTATGTAGTTGTGACAAATATTATGTATAGTTTAGATAAATTCTTTTCAATTGTATGGGGTGTTTCATTAAGACGGATTATATATAAATAAATCAGTATTATTGTTGAAAATTTATGTATTTCTCTATAGGATCATGTTATTTAAGTCATGGTAATTATGTGTGAAAAATAATATCCTCCAAATGTCAGCCAAATCTGAAAGAAAAAGAAAAAAATCATTAGACGCTTAAATTTAATTCACATTAAAATCGATCCAAGTTAGTAGTTGTGATAGTTAGTGGGTAGAATAATATATTTCTTGATTCGTTACGGTTGTCAGGAGGGGCCGCTTTTTATTTGTTGTCGCATTATGTAAATGATTATATTTAGATAAGCATTTTACATATTTGGTTGACTAAAATTAGAGGGAAATTTAAATACAATTATTACGTGTATTACAGAATGCTTAAATACATATAAATCACGCTTTATTTAAATATATATACACATATATAGTATAACGTGCATACCTATACACGCATATCTATATGAACATTTAGTAAGTTAAAAGAGATTCGAAAGAAAAAAAAAACAATAATAATGATAATAATAAAATTAATAATAATATTTATTGCATATTATTAGGTTTTCAAACCAAACAGAAGCATGATGGAAAATGAAAATGAAAAATCGGTCACGCCTGTCTCCTTTCTCAACGAGAATGAAAATGAAGTTGGACGTTTTTTTTGGGGGGTGGGATATTTTTCCGTGTGTGTTAAATTACTGATGAAATCTGCTATTTTAGGGCTAGTTGTTTGCCACGATTATGATTGGTGGGATTTATAGACGACTTTTTGTGGAAACTGTATTGGTTTGGTTTGGTCTATTTTGTTTTACGGCATATCAACCTCAATGGGTTATTTAATGTCGACAAGATTTTTAGGTTCGTGTGAATAGAATATGTATTCGTTGTCAGAAATCAGTTTGAAGATCAAATTTCATTGACCTCTTTTTGTAAAGAGAATTTTTGTTGAGTGTCAAATGTATTGTTGGTAATATTTGTTTTTCCAAAAATGCTGGGAATATTCCTTTTTTTTCAATAATATATTGCTGGTATTTTTACAATACAAATCTATTTTTAATGCTCCTCAAAACCTCCCAATCAGAAGCCTTGCTGCCGGATGTAGTTTATCGTCATATCCAGGACGCCCTGTGTCTGAAGTACATATGTTTCATATTAAATTCACCAAGTACAAGGCTCGAGAGCCACTCAAATAGAAGGTTATTGTAAAAATGGTTATGAATGAGGTGAGTAATATGAGGATTGTAGCACACGAGTAAGCATCTGCACTGCATTCGGTTCCACAAAGTAGCAGTTGTCGGAAAAAAAATGCTATCTTATAATTGGATTACGGAGGAAATGAGGGTGATTCAACATCGTGGAAGTTGCATTGAGGTGTCCAAACAGCAAAGGTCTAAACTGCTGGGACTAAAGAATGCAAAACATGTATATGTGTGCGTAATATATGCGTCTGCGTGTTTGTACATACATACGTATGATATATATATATATATATATATATATATATATATATATATATATATATATTAATCCAAAAATCAGGTAGGCAGTGACTAGCCACGACTATAAGTTTCATGTATTTGCACACAATCGTCAGGTAGCAAGTGGCTGCAGTAGTAGACTAAGTACATGCAAAGGTTTGCCACTATGGCAAAAAGTGCTCAATAACAAGTGAAACTAGCGTTTTTCTGGACTTTATATATATATATATATATATATATATATATATATATATATATATATATATATATATATATATAGTGTGTGTGTGTGTGATAGATAAATTGTTGTTTTAATGACGCAAAAATGAAAATAACAATGACACCTCATTTTAACAGATATATTTACCAAAATGACACACAAATATCTTAAAATACTAAAGAGTTAATTTATTCAATAAAATCACAATTATGCTAATACAACTCCAAACAGTAACGCTCTACCTTGTGTGGCCCTTGTGTATAGTATTAGTTGAACATTAGTAATAAAAATTACGTATAAATAGAAAATATATTATATATTTGTCAGATTTAACCAATTTCCTATATTTTTTATATATATATATATATATATATATATATATATATATATATATATATATATATATATAATGTGAGTAAAATTTGTCACTTAGCTGATTGATGTTATCTTCAGCATCCCTTCTATCTATCTATCTAAAGTATACTTCACCGGAATTTTATGAAAAAGGCCCCCAGCATCTGGTCCTCTCCCCACAGCCTATCGGGTACAAGTTTTGCGCATTAGGGTCAGTCGTTCTTCTGTTTTTCTTTGCTTTGCATCTCCCTGTGTTTTGCTATATTTTTTCCAAAACACGTAAGGACAAGGTTTTGCCATCAAGAAATCTGTGTAGATGTCAAGACATCGCCTATAAAAACTAGGGCGTGGAAGGGGCCCATGAAAAAAGAGCGGATTTTTCCTTTTTGTTTTAGTCAGGGGCGGACCTATTACACCACCTGAGAAAATAACCCACGTCAACATAGGGCAGTAATTACTGGAGAAATTTTTTGATAGAGATTTGTTCGTGTGAATCTCCAGCATCTTATTCGCCAGCCACATCCCTATGCACCACCTGGAACTGAGGTCAAGAAAATGTGGTTCTAAAGAAGGATACTGAGAGTTCCATAGACAGAGCGAGTAATCAACATGGAAGACTTAAATGGCAAATCAGGAAAATCAGGCCTTTAAATTCCATAGGAACATAATGAGAAGGTGGGCTTGAAAAACTTAAATCACACAGGGTATATTTGAAGGAAAGAGAGATAAGTGAAGGTGGCGAATTTTAAACAAGAGAGAAAAACTGTAAAGATCGCAACTAGAAGAAGAAGAAGAAGGAGGAAAAGAAGAAGAAGAAGAAGAAGAAGAAGAAGAAGAAGGGGAAAAAGAAGAAGAAGAAGATCGCGACTAGAAAAAGTTGTGGTTAGAAGAAGAAAAAGAAGCAGATTTCGGCTAAAAGAAGATGAAAAAGAAGAGATCGTGGTTAGAAGATGATGTCGAAGAAGAAGTAGAAGAAGAAAAAGGGAAAATCGTGACTAGAAGAAGAAGAAGAAGATCGCGGCTAGAAGAAGAAAAAGGAGGAGAAGATGATTGCGGCTTGAAGAAGATGAAGAAAAAAGTAGATCGTGGCTAGAAGAAGAAGAATAGGAAGAAGTAGAAGAAGAAAAAGGAGTAGTCGCGGCATGAAAAAGAAGAAATAAAAGAAGAAGTCGCGGCTAGAAGAAGAAGAAGAAGAAGTAGTAGTAGTAGTAGTAGTAGAAGAAGAAGAAGAAGTAGTAGTAGTAGTAGTAGAAGAAGAAGAAGAAGAAGAAGAAGAAGAAGAAGAAGTAGTAGTAGTAGTAGTAGAAGAAGAAGAAGAAGAAGACAACGACATGCAGCAATCCACCGCTCGTTTGAATAGCAGCAATAAAAACACACAATTGCGATTACATATCTCTGATTGGAAGTTTGAAATGCTGGTTGTAATATTTCCTTCTAATCAATAAGATATGGTCTGTAGTGTTTGTGAGAGAGATAGTTGAGTATTTCTTATTGACGCCAGTGGTTGGGTGTTCGATTCCAGGTGAAAGGCTGAATTATGAATGTGCATTTTCAAAGCTAGCAAAGTGTCAGTATACAAAGTCAGACATTTTTCTTTAAAAAGGCAGTACTAAATTTAATAAATATCTATTTGCTAGCGCTTGTTTATTTTTTTAAAGTCATATGACCTACCCATAAATAATAAAGTAATCTTTGAGTTCAAATAGACATCTTATCTAACTCATCTAAAAAGTGTATTGACCCCTACGCTCACTTGAACGGAATTTGACGCGAGGCCGTGTTTGAACTGGGAATTCAACACGTATATGGGATTAGTAACAAACATTGTTCAGGCTCCCTCGGCATTTGCCTAAGCTATCAGGGATTAGTCCTGACTTTTATTCTTTTAAGAAGAATTTTATGCGTTTTTGTTCGTTGATATAGCGTCAATACAAGAAGTTGAAAAAGTCCTTTGTCGGCAAAAAAGATTGAATTAATCTACAAAAAATAATTATGAAAAAAAAAAAAAAAACGACTTCGAAGTTACTAAAAAGAATTTAAAGTTACAGCTACCATTACAGCCGTAATAGCTACCATATTTATAAAGGTGAACCTAAACTGAACATCATATTTATCTTAAAGATGGCTCAGAAAATGTGGCAAGTTGACAATTACTGAAAAATCATTTATACTGTTTAAAATAAGATTTCCCCAGCTGTGTTGGGTCGTCCTGGGTATGACGATAAACTACATCTGGCAGGTGGCCTCTGATTATTAGGTTTTAGGGAACGTGGAACAACTTCTTAATTGCTGTTGTTCTCAGGTCCACCTTGACCTGGGGTGGTAGAACCTGTTAAGATCCCTGCTATGGGCAAATAGTTAACCCCCAAACTGGTCAAAACATTCTTAAAGTATAAAAATATATTTCTGTACTAAGAGTACAAGCAATACATTTTAAAAAGAATGCCTGCAATACATTATTGGAAAAAGGAGAGAAAAATTGCAAACAATACATTTTTGAAAAAAAAAAAAAAAAATACCAAAGCTCCCAAGGAAATTGAATTTCAGCATTAACCCCTTTCCCGCCAATTATTTTTGGAAAAACGTTTCATTTTCAGGTGAAGTTTTTATTTGCTTTTAATATAGTAACTAAGAAACTGAGGCATCTGGAAATACCCAAGCAATGGCTAACAACTCTACCAGACGTATGAGTAGACAACAGAACGTGTTTCAAGGTCAGAAGGGCATAAAAAGAATCAAGGTCGACGTATAAAGAAGTTTGTAGCTGTTTTTTGAATGTTATGTTTTGGACGTGTTCATTTGTCCATGTCGGAAAAAGACGCTTTCGTATATACACGTCTGCGCTCGAGGAATTAGTTAATGACCCATAAGGTGTTGATATGCCGTTAAAGAAACCAAAGTAAAACCGTGTAGGGTAATGTATCACGTATTAAAAAAAAAATGTTTCAGGCCCAAGTCACGCTAAGCGTTTCTTTATTGTAATTTCACGCTGCTTACTGTGATTTCCGGTGAGTATTTGAATAAATCAAAGAAAAAAACTAACTAAAAATAAATAATTAAAATAGTTAAACTCAAAATTTAATAATTTCAAACGGTTATTAGAAAAAGTCACACGGTATGAAATAATCATTACTTACATTATTTATACGCGGACTATTGTCGTCATCTTTGTTGATATCATAACTTTTCGGTTGTTGTTCTCTTCGGACTTCCGACGACACAATAGCCTAGTGGATTAAAGCGTTGGTTCATGAATTTGGTGATATATTAATAGTGAGTTCAAACTCAGAGCCGAGCAGTGTTGGGCTCAATGGTAACGAGGCGAGTTGGAACGAGATAAGATATTCCTAGACTGTAGGTTACTCGCCTCGACAGACACCTGATGAAGGCCGGAGAGTACAACGGCCGAAACATCGCGATAACAACAAAAATGAGGATAATAGTCAGCGTGTAAATGATGTAAATAAATTTAAGCCCACATGTCTCTCATTCTCTGTCCTAATGATGTGATGTGGTGTGGGGTAATTATTATTCAAGTAAAAAGTTTTCATGTTTTTTCGTTGTTGTCTTGATTGTCTTGTTTACTGAGTTCATGGGCAACCAATTTCCCTAATGTGGATCTCTGATAGGGTGCAGGTGTATATCCTAAGTTTAATCGGTTGCGATGTGTTGCACTGACAAATCCTAAGCGTTTTAAATTTAATATGAGTTCATCATCACTGTTTTATAACAGTCCTTTAGGAAGAGCATTTTTTGACTGTTGATCGATTTTGTTTAGCGGCATATCAATCTGCATGGGTTATTTAATGTCGAAATCTAAAGAATTTGAACTCAATTTTATTTCTCCAACTACAGATAAAACATATTGTTGGTCTGTTGTATCCTTAAGGAGGTTACAAACAGACAAAGGTGGTACTCGAGTGAAGGAACAGCAACACGTGCGTTGATGAAAGAAGAGAGGTTTATTGTAAAAGAGAATACACTACTGAAAAACAGGGAATCGGGTGGCAGGCTAGTAATTCCCAAAGCAAGGTTATTTACCTTACCTCTCCGCGTGGCAGGATGTGGCACAAGACCATTTTTTAATGCGGGGAAAAACCGAGCCCGTAGGCTAGGTCAAAAAATCCATGTAGACCCCGTAAAAAACGGTAGCTGTCTACCACACCAGACAAGACTCTTCCCTTCGGCATAGCCTTGTCTGGGTTCCTCTCCGAAGCAAGGATATTTGCCAACCGCCCTACGCAGTCAGATGTGACACAAGGCCGAATTTAACGTGGAGCATCCGAGCCAGTAGGCTCGGGCAAAAATTCCCCGTAGACCCCGTATACACTGAATCGGGTATCTGTCTACTACCCTAGACGAGACTCTGCCCGAAGTAAGGTTATTTACCTTACCTCTCCGCGAGGCAGGATTTGGCATAAGGCCATTTTTTAATGAGTGTGAAAAAAGCACGTAGACTCGGGCAAAAATTCCTCGTAGACCCCGTAAAAAACGCGGTCGGGTAGCTGTCTACCACCCCAGACGAGACTCTGCCCTTCGGCCGAAGGCAGAGAGTTCGACTAGCACAGCTGGAGACTAATCTCCAACTAATTGCCGTAGCAAGGATATTTGCCAACCACCCCACGCGGTCAGATCTGGCACAAGGCCGAATTTAACGTGGAGTATCCGAGCCTGTTGGCTCGGGCAAAAATTCCCCGTAGACCCCGTAAAAACGGGATCATGTAGCTGTCTACCACCCCAGACGAGACTCTGCCCTTCGTCATAGCCTCGTCGGGGTTCCTCTCTGCCCGAAGGCAGAGAGTTCGACTAGCACAGCTGGAGACGAATGTGTAACTAATTGCCGTAGGAGTTATTTATTGTATATACAAATACAATTATGGCACAAGGCCGAAAAAAGGGAGGGGGTTAAGGCTGGTCTTTACTAACTATCTTATACCTAGCTAATCTAGCTAATCCGATTCACGACCCATTCACTCATTACAATTTGCCCATTCACCATAAAAACTCGTCCGTCACCAATCAATCTTCCATGCACCATAATACCGCATTCTCTCAAGGGAGACCTACAAAACACGTCCCATGCCATAAAAATTTAATTATAATAAATTATATATAAAAATCTAAAGATGAAAAATGAAAGAGAAGGGAGATGAACCCAATAACAAACCAAACAAAGAGAGGCCACTGTATTCTGCCCATTGGACAAAATCATGAAGCTGTTTCGCTAAGGGAGTTGCAAAAGGAGAAAATATATACGGACATGGGAAAGAAAAAGCTGACCCAGTCGAGATAAAAAGGGACCGAAACAAACTGGGAAGGTTGGGAATCTCGACTTGGATCATAACCAAAGATACATCCGGGAACAACACTTACTCACATTAACTCAAGAAATAAAGTCATAATATTGAAACAAGAAAGCTTTTGTGTAGCGATTTCCAAATGTTTTTATTATTATCTAAAAATATAATAAGTTAAACTATATATATATATATATATATATATATATATACCTTCAAAGAAACACGATACCAAGGTTTAAAATGAATTTTTTAAAATTAAGAATCATGAAGCTTCTATTTTAGTTTTAATTTTAAGTTAATAGATGATATCTAATATTTCCAATAAGTAAAATACTTTGCTGTATTTCAAAACTGATTTAAATTGACTGGAATTTGTTCTTTTGAAATCACTAAAAAATGCTCATTTTTAACCACTTTTAGCCATCTGTCAGCACAATGTAATTCTCTTTATTAAAAAATCTTTCAAAACAAAATATACTTTCATGAAACTTTATTTGAGAAATATTAGTTGATTTAAAGTTTAATTAAACTGACTTGAAACAATAATTACTTACTTTCAGTTTAAAATATCTCAGAAATGCATTTTTAACATGGAGCTAGGTGTTTTAATAGGTCTTGACAGCTCTATTGACAGCCGGAAATTAATTTTTTCTTTGGGGGACGTATTTTAAAAAATTAATTGACGAATATAACGTGAGCTCCTTTTTTATAGATTTTTTTAACTACCCAGTAATCTTAAAAATTTAGGAAAATATTCTCCATAATCTAATGTTTTATTGAATTTTAGGTAGTTTGGCTTTGAATTTACTTTAGTTATCGCTCTTGCTTTTTGATAATTCCGTATATGGACGACTGTATTTATAAAAATCGACACGTTTATACACAGAAAAAATTCAAAATTCTTTTTAAAATATTGGGCGGGAAGTCTCTAAATTGTTGTAAGCTTTTCCATTCATTAGTAGATATAGCTTTTACTTAACAATATCACTTAACCCGTACTAGTTAATACGGAATTGTAAACGGTTTCACACTTTATAAATTATTCTAATTTAAATTAAGAAAATGGAAACAATTCTTGCAAAATTCATTATTTATCGAAAAAATATTTTTCTTAAGATAATAGTGCACGTAATATTTCTTGTTAATAAAAAGCAAATAAAAACTTTTGTAATTAAATAATGTGTTAGTTTTATTGAATTTTTTATTTTGCGATTCAGAACAAATTTTTGATGAACGGAGGACCTCTAGTTCCAAATAAACATTGATGATTTAAATTCTCTAAGGAGTTCTACATATAACTAATATAAATATTAAGCGTTAGAAAAATGAATTTCTCAGTTTTATATAATTAAATAAGTGGGGGTAACAGATATAAAAAGAGAAAGAGTTTACCAAGATTTTCTAAAAAGGAAATATTTCTAAAATAATTTCATTCATTTGTGAATAAGTCATGAAAGTTTCATTAAAATCCGACAATTATTTGATTTTTGCAAGAAATTTGCTTAGGCCGACCTGTGCATATTTATTGCTTAGTGTACTTACGATGAAAATAACTTTTCCGTTTTTAAAAATAAAAAACGACCACGTGGGCAGATGCATTAGAAATTGCATCTAACCTGGAAGGAGGCTTTAAAAACGCGTGAAGTTTTGGCCAATAATCCTTGCACATCCTGAGTCTGTAGGTCTGGCTCAGCGCCACGTGGCGACAGGTCAGCGGGGACAGATTCTCAGATGGGAACTAATGAAGTGTTTCCGCTTATACATTCGTTTCTGACCAGAATTTGTTATCTTATCCTTACCGCCTGACAATTTGAAAGGCCCGATAGAGAGGCTCGTTCTTCTACAGTAGCCTAGAGCGTTAATCGGGGAAATTAGGGAGCGTGTTGAAGCCATTTGCAAAGAAGAAGGGTTAATTTAGTTTCTTGGGGCGTTTCCGTTTTCTAGGGATGCTTCAACAGAAAGAACAGAAGCGAGAAGATAAAAAGAGGGAGGAACGGAAGGACGGAGGGAGAGAGAGAGAGAGAGAGAAAGTTGAAGCAAGTTGATAGACTAAAGAGAAAGAACAAAGAGAGAGAGAGAGAGAGAGAGAGAGAGAGAGAGAGAGAGAGAGAGACATAGGGAGAAGGACAGAACAGTTGCGAGTTACAGCATACAAACACGAGCAAATACTCATACGCGCACAATTGTGAGTTGTAGCCCACAGACACAAATATACGCCTATTTATGAGTTAGTGTACACACATATACACGCACAATCGTGAGTTTTGGCACACACATGCACACATACATACACACATTATTTCGAGTCACACACGCACACGGATATATATATTATTTTCACTGACGTCTTTCCACTAATATCAGAATAGCTGCCTCCAAGAAACGCGATACCTAAGTTTTAAAATCCATTTAAAAATATTTCTTGAATCATTTATTTTACTTTTAATTGCAAGCTAATAGATTAAATTTAATATTTTAAGTAAGCAAAATAATTTTCCGTATTCTAAACCGAATTTAAATTGATTGGAATGCGTTTTTGAATTGCTAAAATCGGCCATATTGACATAACAATCGCAGCATAATTCTCTTAAAAAATCTTTCAAAAATAAAATATACATTTCTGAAACTTTATTTGAGGATGATTAACTGTCTTAAACTTTAATTGATCTGAATTAAAACAAATATTAAGTACTTTTAGTTTCAAACAGGAACGCATTCTTAACACTGAGGTTGTTTTTTTGTGAGGTGTTAACAGACTTATTGATATCTTAATGTTTTTACGTAACGGGCACATAACTGCAAAAATTACTTGATGAATTCGTCTTTTCTATATAATTTTTGAAATACCCAATAGTTTTAAAGATTTCGGAAAATAATAAGCAATCTAATATTTTATTGAATTTTACGTACTTTGGCTAAGATGCATGTTGAGGAAATTTTAGAAAATTACCAATAAAATTTAAATTTACTATAGTTACAGCTGTAATTTTCTGATAATGTTATGCATGGACGTGCGTATTTACAAAACTCGTCATCTTTATACATAAGCAAAATTTCAGAATTCTTTTTAAAATACTGGATATCGTTGAATTGTAGTAAGCTTTTCCATTTATGATCAGGAAATATAGTTTTTATTTGATAACAATATCATCTAACCTTTGCAAAGTTAAGCAGAATTTTAGAAGATTTAAAACTTTATGAATTATTATACTTAAAATTAAAAAATAAAAATAATTCTTGTAAAAATTCATTATCTATCGAAGAAATTTTTTTCTGAAGAGAAAAATGTCCATAATATATGTTATTCATAAAAGCAATTAAAAACATTCTTAATTAAATAATGTATTCATTTTATTGCATCTTTTATTTTACAATTCAAAGCAGATTTTCTGGTTTTCCTGTTTGAAAAATAAAGATTTAAATTTTTCAAGGACTTGACCTTATAACTAAAATAAACATTAAGTGCTACAAAAATGAACGACTCAAAATTTCATAAAATTAAATAAGTCGGGGAAGGCAAGGGATGTAAAAAAAATATTTTCCCAATATTTTCTAAAAAGGAAATATTTCTGAAATAAATGAATTCATTTGTGAGTAAGTCCTGAAAGTTTCATTAAAATTCGACAATTATTTGATTTTTGCAAGAATTTAATACTTTATATTAATAGGATTCACTTGGATTATTCACCTACGGATTTTTTACCTATATATATATATATATATATATATATATATATATATATATATATATATGTGTGTGTGTGTGTGTGTGTGTGTGTGTGTGTGTGTGTGTGTACTTAGGCAGCAAATTCTTTTTTTAGACATGTCTGATTGAATAAATTGCAGATATTATGTATGCTAATTTTTAAGTAAATTCTTTCATACTCACGGATATCCTTCCGTGTAGTAATGTTAAAAGATGAGAGAAATGTGCTATAGCTGTTTAAATTTCTTTTATTTTAATTTCCCAAGTACTTTCGATCTATCTATCTATCTATCTATCTATCTATCTATCTATCTATATATATGTGATGGTGATGGGCACTCCGTTTGACGTGATATAAAACTTACGGAGATTACGGACAACAGTTCTCATACGTTCATCGAAGTTAACCAACTTCGAGCCTGGTCAGTACCTATATGGGTGACAGCTTGTGAATACCAGCTGATGTAAGCTTGGAAGTGCGGGTTATGCAATGAATAACGACTTGCAAATGGAAATCAGAATGCCGCGTTGCAATTCTCATTCTGTTTTCTTGTATTCACTTGCAAATATCCTTGGTTAAGTTATGAATTCACCACTTCACTCTCCGTGGATTAATTACTAGCTCTTCTTCTATCAGTAAATTATTATTATCTGTAAAAAGATTTTTCAATTTTTAAATAGCCAACCAAAGGTTGATAAGTCGTAAAAAACAATCAATCAATCGTGGTGGTGTAATGGGTAGCAAGCTTGTCTTGCTCGATCACCTACGACTGTGTAATGCCACTAGGATATGGAGGGGGGAATTACAGGGAGTGAAAGAGAATGAGAAGAGTTTAGTGATGAAAAGGACAATAAACGTGCAGGATTCAGGAAGACAGAAGATGGCGGTTTGCATTGCATTTAAATTTTGAAAGATTGTAGGTGGGGTAGGGAAGCAAGAAATCGGAAGGGATTTCCACATGTGAAAAATACAGGAAAAGAAATTATTAAAATAGAACTAGTTCAAGAGTAAAACGGAGAGACCTAATTGCCAATCGAGTAGCACGCTTGAATTCCTGCAGTCAAGGCACTAAGGAGAACAGCTCATCAGAAACAGTTCATATATATATAACCGGTCAGTGTAATCCTGGCTGAAAAATGTTTTAAGACAAGCAGTCGTAATTATTTAAATTACCAGATCAGATCGGACGGTCATAAGCCAGAAAGTGTTTGTTTGTCTTTTTTTTTAAGGTAATTTAATTAATTGTCCCTTTTATCTCCAAAATTCCCTACGCATTTTCTTTATAGACAATTTCATCTTTCATTCCGACCTGAAGAAGCCGAGCTCAATAGACGTCCTCGAAACGCGCCGTTTATAAGATTTGTTTATTTCGAATACTATTATACACTACACACAATTATATCGAATACTATTATACACTACACACACGCGCGCGCAGAGAGAGAGAGAGAGAGAGACACAGAGAGAGAGAGAGAGAGAGAGAGAGAGAGAGAGAGAGAGAGAGAGAGACCGCGCCCTAAATAAACAAACGGTTCTTCTGAAAAATTGGTATGCATCAAACAAGAAACAAAATGGGTGACTAAATATATTTTTTATGTATATTAAATACTGTTTTAAAAGTCTTGAAAATTGTTTGGTGTCCAAAATTTAATAATGCCGCAAAGAACAGACATATTTCAAATATGTAGTTAAAACAGGAGGTAAAAAGCGACACTGACATTTAATCCGAAAACTCCGAAAGATAAAAAAAAAAGATAAAAATTGGGAGTTTACCGATTATTGAAAATTGTTTAATACGTAAAAGAGTATATATATATATATATATATATATATATATTTATATATATATATATATATATATATATATATATATATATAAAAAAGAGAGAGATAGAGAGATAGAGGGTGTAGTGAGATACAGATAAAAAGATGGGTAGTCTGTATAGAAAAGGCAGCAAATAAAGTTATAAAACCTAAACAAATAAACAAGTATCAGATATTTTTCATTTTTTTCTCTTGTATGCATACATATTTTTTCTGTTTCTTTCTAGTGTAAAGATACTGACACACACACACACACACACACACATATATATATATATATATATATATATATATATATATATATATATATATATATATATATATATATATAGAGAGAGAGAGAGAGAGAGAGAGAGAGAGGAGAGAAAGAAAGAGAGAGAGACCAAAGAAAAAAATAATGATTGAAGCTGAAAGTATATGTGCAGAAAGAGAATTACAGAGAAAGAGGTTAGAAAGAAAGAAAGAAAGAAAGAAAGAAAGAAAGAAAGAAAGAAAGAAAGAAAAAGAAAGAAAGAAAGAAAGAAAGCGCGACTATGTGAGCTTAGAGAAAGAAATTGGGAGTTAGAGAGTAGAGGGAGAGAGACGAAAAGGCAACTGAATGTTGAAAGTGCCTAAGGAATCAGAGAGAGAAAGATGTTAAAATCAATGATGAAGAAAAGGAAGAATAGAAATCAGACTTTCTTTGCAACCCCGGGGCCTAACCCCAAACCTTAACCCATATCCAGACCCTAATCAGTTCCTCGTAATGTGTTTTTCTTATCCTAGAAATCGGCTGGATGCCGTGGCAATCGATTGCCTCCGGATCCTGAGTGTGCCTGACCCCGGCCAAATGGGGGTCGTTTTAAGAAAGAACTTGTCCTTCACCTCTAACAAAATTGCAACCTCAGCATAATTGATGCCAATGTATTGGAAAAGGGCGGACAGACAAGCAGCGTGGGTTAAGTTTAGTGGAAAGCAGGTTGTAAAGAGATGAAATCAGGTAGAAAATGCAAAATGTGGGTGGGGCTGATCAGAACTTTCCACCTTTGAAAACGAACTGATGGAGGCAAACCAGGAAAGACGCTAAGACTTAGTGTTATGGGCGTGGCGTTTGGTCACAGCTTGCATTCTTTTTCAATAGCTTTAACTGACGAGTCTAAAGGAGATTCTGTGCTGGTAGGCTATATATTCTTTACGTTTTTTTCGCTTGTAGGGAATCTTCATTTTACTAAATGATGAGGTTTTTTTTTTCTATGAATTATTTGGATTTGTATAGAGAAGAGCATGAATGAACAACGTATAAGTTACTTTTCAAGTTGATTTGACAAAACAGTCTTTACTATTGGAGGAAAAACATTAGTTTTCGGTTTAGAATTGTCGCACGAGATTTTGTATTGATTGAAAGCGTATGATTGGAGAGCCACTGTCTTTTATTAACCTAGATACACAGACAAATGATGATGTACTTTACTAAATCTAGTATTCTGATTCCGAATCTATACCCAGAACTGTCCCAGCCTTTTTCTTTTGGGATAATTACAGCATAATATACATTTATATTCAATGTAGATATTACAATAAAAATTTTAGGATGCACTTGATCTTGCCATGTAATTCATTCGTGTTCGTTGTATAGAAAGGAAACTCCTATCAATATTAGAAA